GCCCCGGCCCCGCCGAGACCCGGCCGACAAGCCGCCGCCGGAGCGGGGCTGAAGACGGGGCGCCGGGGGTGCATGGGGGGCCCCGTGCTCCTCGGTGCCCCGGAGCCGGGAGGGCGGCAGCACCGCCAGCCACCCCTCCGTGTCCGCCGCCTCCTTCCCCGCTGCGCTTGTTGTGCGCCCGGGCTGGGCTCCCCCAGCTTCTTCATTTCTGCCCCCCACCCCGCTTTGTGCTGCGCGCTGGGCTCCGCGTTTCCCCACGGCAGCGCGGGAGAAGTGGGGGTCACCGCAGGCAGTGACCGGCTCTGATAGAAAGGCTGAGCCGGGGTCACCCTCACCCTCTCCTGCCCTGCTGAGCCCCCTGCCCCTCCTCGGGTCTGGCTCTGCTCCCTCCACGGCACACTTGCACCCACCCCTGCGCACAGCCCCACGCAGGACTCGGCTCCCGTGGCAGCGCTGGGGGAAGCAGGGTGTCCTCCTGCCCCATCCTGCCCACAGCAGCGGGGCTCTGCCTTCATTGCTCAGCGGGACCAGAGCTGTGATGAGGTTATGGGTTCACCCTGCGGCACCGACCACAGAGCCACTCGCTGCTTGGATCTGGCTGCTCCCCATGCACAGCCCCTTCTGCCAGCAAGTCATGATCACGCCTAGCTCCCTGCCTCAGTTTCCCCAGCTGGTGACAGAGGGTTAGCTCTGCTAGAAAGACTGAGCCCGACCCCTCACCCACAAGTCAAGCAACCCTCTGCGACCCTGCCCAGTGGCACAGCGGTGGGGGAAACACCAGCTCCCTGCCTCCAGAACAAGCCCAGCACCAGGCACCCCCTCTACCTCCCCCCGGAGATGTGGCTCTGCTGGGGAGGTGTGTGCCTGGCTGGGAAGCCGGGGTCCCCGGAGGACAAGTGGTGAGACAGCCGCCCATGAGCTCGACAAGAGGCCTCGCCTCTCCCTGGGGACTGCGCCGCAGGTCAGCGTGACCTTCACTGTGCTGCCGATGCCAACGGCAAAGCTTTCCCCAGTCGTCCGGCAAGCGCACACACATCTTCAATCTTCCCATCGATCTGTGCATGGCACACATGTTCCTGCCTCTGTGTGGGTCAATACAGCATGATAGGCTGCCTCCGGCAGGGAGCACGCACAGTCCCAGCCACCCGCTTGTCCCTGCCCAGGGGATGCAGCATGCGTGTGCCAGCCCCGCATCCCCAGCTCGGAGAGACACGGCGGGGACTGGGCTGGGCAGGTGGTCCGAGCGCCACCGTCACCATGGGTGGCCCCAGCCACACGGCCACAAGCCCCGAGCTGCTTCTGCGGGGCTACTTGGCCCTGGAAAGACTGTGGGCAGCAAGGGCCTGACCCTGTGGCGAGGAGGTTCTGCGGTGCAAGACAATGGCCGGCATTCGGTCTTTGGTCTGCAGAGCCTGGTACTGAGTCCCTGCCTGCATCTCTCAGTGTCATGGTGGCGAGGAGCACGAAGGCACGGAGGATCTGCCAGGCAGGTCCACCCCGTAAGCGCTGATCCTGAGGTACAGGGCAAACTGAGCTGTGTGAGTGCGAGACCGGCAGGAGCCCCATGTCCTCTGTGTGCTGGACAGTCATGGCACGGGAGCAGGACTACCTCTCAGCTCCCTGCATGGCCCTGGCCCCCACACCACGGGGACCATAGACCTCTGCTCTCTCTGGGCATCTCCTGCTCCATTAGCAGCAACTGCCACCTGGGCTGGGGACACCTCTTGGCACCCTCCCCACAGCATGGTCCCCTCCTGTGCGGCCGAAGAGGTGGATGTGTCCTCTCCTCCCTTCTCTCCTGCCTCTCCCCTGCTGTGCCCTGGTCCTGCCTGGCCACCCAGCAAGGGCAGATGGGTGCTGGGGGCTCATCCCCTTGCAGGATCACCCAAGGCACGGAGCTGAAGTGCAGCCAGGCTGGGTTGGGATCAAGCTCTGCCCAAGTGAGTGGCACCCAAGGCACAAGCCCCAACCCCAGCTGCAGGCCTCCTGCAAGCCACAGAGCAGGGAGGGCTGTGGCTTCATGGCCACCAGCACCCGGGGAGAAGGCACACCAGGAGACACGCTGGGCCGGAGGGGCAGGGAGCAGGGAAGCAGCATGGCTGGGAGGGGAGGCAGCAGGGCTCAGGGACTGCTTTCTCCTGGGACCAGACAAGGCAGAGAGCATAGCACCAGCTGGGAAGGGCCAGTGCTGCCACTTGGCAGCATGTCTGCAGCTCACTGTTCTGCACCGGAGCCTCCCACCTGTGGCTGAGCACGGCACGCCTGCGCACAGGGGGCACGAGGCCACGAGGAGGGACTGCAGCATGCAGCGGGGCTTGCCTGCCCCTCCGCCGGGCCACGAGCAGCTGCAGAGCCCGTCTGCCCGCTGATGCTCCCACAGCCAGCCCTTGGGTTTGATGCTAACGGCCGGGAGAAGCCTGATGCCCCAGGCTCCAGAGTGCTGACTTCACTAGCCACCGTGCAGGACAGGAGACCCAGCTGAGGGCTCGGCAGCAGATCGGGAAATGGGGGTCCCCCCTGCTCACCCTTGCGCCCCGAGCCTGGGGGGATGCTGAGCGGCGGGGGCTTGGCGCAGGGCCCACGTGCTACGCTCAGATGATGGGGGGAGGCTGCAAGCGCCGGGGAAGACAGGACTGGAATTCGAAATGATGTTGACAAATCGGAGAAATGGCCTGAAAACAATCAGATCCAATTCAAAAGGACAAGTGCCAAGAGCTGGGCTGGGGCAGGAAGCAAATCTGCCCAGCAAGCAGAGGGCAAGCGGCTGGAGGGCAGGGCTGCCGAGCAGGCAGGAGGGCAGGGCAGAGCCCTGGCTCAGCAGCAGGCAGCAGCGTCGGCTTGTCTGAGTTTAACACTGAAACCCAGGACAGTCCCAGGCAGATAAACAAGGCATGCAGAGGGTCGGACCCCCCCAGGCAGGACACGCTGTGCAGGTGAGGTTATCTGTGCTTGCAGAAGCTGCACTTCCAGATGCCCAGCAGCCAGGAGCTAGGAAAAAACAGGAGGAGCCTCCTTCATCTGGGATATGGGATCTGCCAGTGTAATATGGGATGTCTGGCTGCCCCGCAACTGCACTGAGCTTGGTGGAAAGGAGGCCGTTGCTCAGGGCTGTGTAAGAAGGAGCATCATTCACCAGGCATCTGAACTACTTGCTGGCAGCGAGGCCTCGGCGGGAGCCCTGTGCCTGGTCTGGGACCAAACGTCAAGAAAAATCTGGACTAATTGGAAAGAGTAGAGAGGATGGCAATAACAGGGAGCAGTGCTGGGGACTGGCTGGAGGCACTGGGAGTTTGGGTGAGAGCAGAGGAGGCTAAAAGGCTGCATCCATAGACAAAATAACTGCTGTGAGCCCAGAAGGAGGGGGCTTTCTAGAGCATCAGGGCCCTGACACACCATAGAAGACAGCAGGGGTTAGGTGGAGCCTCCACGGAGGAGAAGCTGGCCCACAGGCTGGAGGGGTGCTTGGTGGGACTGATTCTGCCATGGTGCCCTCCAGCAACCTTGTGATGATTCATCCCTCTGAGACACAGACACTGCCTGTTTTTATTCTCAGGCCGATCCAGATGAGGGTTTGGTTACCATTTCCCTGTCTTGCCATGGAGCCAATGGATCGATTCTTCGCTGTACCAGCACCCGACCTCCCACCACGCTCCGGCACCGGAGCTGTGCCGCTGCAGTGAGCTCACCCTCCTGGCCACCCTGCGGGGCTGCAGCTCCTCAGCACAGGCACAAGGGATCAGCCCGGGGGCACCAAAAGGTGCTGTGGCCAGGGCAGCCCGGGCGGGTGGGGGACACAGATGACGGGACAGTTGCAGCCCAGGGCAAGTAGCGGGCACCTGCCCGAGGGGAGACCCCCAGCATGCAGTCCCCACCTGATGCCCTGCTAGTCCAGGACCCAGATCCTGCTTGCTGGGCACTTCTGCCACCAGCCCAAGCCCATAAGCTGGCTGCCGTGTGTTCCTCGCCAGCTCCACATGCTCCAGAGCCAGCACTGGCCGCAGCCCTGTGCCCGGAGGGAAGTGGATCTGGGGCGATCATTAATTTTGATCTAATTGAAGGAAACGTGACTGCGGAGCCCAGCTGGCCGCAGAGCTCGACTCTGCCTCGCGCCAGTTGGATCCTCCGAGACCTTTGCAAACACGTCGGCTTAACAAGCACAGCCTCCTCCCCCGGCCTCCCCGGCACGCTGCCGGCGCCTGCCTGGCAGGTTAGGCTCCACGGCGAATGCCTCGGCTGTGGGGAGATGTGGGATGACAAGATGTCCACTCCAATTACAGGAGAGCAGGGTTGGCAACGGTGTGATGAGCATGCCGGGCATTACCCCCCGCCGTGAAGCCAGCCGTGGGGCAGCCTCGGAGGCAGTAATGTCGCTTGCGCCCCGCTCACCGAAACCTCCACACCATCCTCCTGCGCCTGCGGGGAGCAGCGGGGCTGGGAACGGCGGGCAGGGAGCTGTATGCGCCAGGGCAGGGAGCGGAGCCATCACTATGAACACCGATACCAGCCACGTGGTGCTGGGATGGAGAGGATGGCAGCTCCGGCACTGCCGACCAGCCTCGCTGGTGGCCCTGGTCCCTTGGGCAGGCAGTGGCCGGGTCCCCCACGTGCGGGGAGCCACTCTCCAGTTTAGCCCCCGGCAGCA